CGAAACAATTCGAACAATAATATTATATAAACTGTATAATTCGGTGGCGGTTCGTGATGTTTGAAGTGGCCAGTATGCAATTATTGCAAAAAAAGACCATTAAAAAAAATTAAACGAAATTAAACATTAGTCAAATCGAAATCCAAAACTAAGTAGTACATTGTTTGTGTCATTAAATTTGTACACACGTTGGCTGTTTGTAAATTATAGTGTTGTCTCCGAGAAATTGTGTTAGTTTAATTGTTTTATTTAGTTTTTAGAATTTCTACTACTTCGATTTGTATTCGTTAAACTCGAACCGAGTTTAAGTATATGTGTGCACGTATTATAGCTTACTACTAAAATAAAGAACTGTCGTCTCGCCCATAAGCTTAGGATTTTGATGTAGGATATTTTTTCTCTCAAATGCAATCGATTTATTGTTGTTATTATTGTGGGCCGTGACTCATGATGACTCTCTGAAGAAATACGGAATTGTACTCGTAAGAATATGATATAAATAAGAATTTAATCGACGGGGATGATAAACAGGTTGGACACCTACAGTATGTTACCAATGTGAGTTTTTCAAATGCTAAACGATCTTCAGAAAATAGATTGTTTTCTGCAAACATTTTTTAGTGTTGCTCGTGGTTGGTATTGAGGGGAGAGGGGACTCGCATACTACCGACTTGTATTTGAATAATAATTATTATTGTCACAATATGGCTGCTGTAACTTTTCTTGAGTTGTACCAACGAAATAATATCGAGATGTATAGTTATGGGTACGTGTTTACCAAGTTTCGCATATATTATACTTATGCAATTTATGTACGAAACATATTCTATTCCAAACTCTCGATACAAATGCAATTATAATAATGAAGGGCGCAAATGATTAATAAAGCATGGCATGCAGCATTAATAGTAATGGGAATTATTTGAGTAGATGGGTCAGGGTGTTACCATATTGTACCATCATCAAATTTACGACGACATATTTTTTCGGGTTCTTATCATTTTATAAACTCTTCTACGATAATAATGAGAAACAATAATAACAATCACGACACTATTGCTACTAATAATAATAACTAAGACAACAATAACAACGAGTGTTGTGCATCAAAATTATATTCATTTTTTTTTTTAAAAAATTAGATTTACACGATGTTTTCAAATAATTTACTTTCAAAAGAGTTTGAAAAAAAAACTACTTTAGTGTTTACATTACTTTAATTTACATCTCCCCCCCCCCCCCACCCCACACACACACACAACATATATTGTTTTTACTGCGTAGGTAAATTTTGGTAACACAAATAGGTACCTGAAGATGTTTGTTCACTTTTCCGTATAAATAACAAAATGTAATGGAAAAAAAAAAAACAATAATAATGAATAATCACATGACATAACATTTAATTTTTAGTTTAAAAAAAAAAAAAATGGTAATCATCTACTACATTTATGGGTCATGTATTACAATTTGTTGGTTATGTTGAAGATGATTGCTCGATCGGAAAAAAATGAACACAGTGTTAGGAGATAACTATTAGTGATGGGCTTCCGAAATGTTGACTGTCCCGAAACCAGCTTTCCGTGGAGTATTAATTATTCAGCAATGCTTGGAAAAAACGTTAAGGAGCCAATCAAGGTTTCCCATCGAACTCATTGGCAAACGTTAATTTTTCGATCAATCCGATGAGGGTTTATATATGATTATACAAAATTGAAGACCTCCCGTGGAGATCGGTGTATGTTACAATATTTTCAAAAACCGTTTTATTACATTAATTGATAAGACTCAGGGTTGACAACACATTGTGCTACGTTATGTACGTTATGTATGAATAAACGTACATTAAGAACTCCGAAAATTGATTTCAAGAAAGCGTTTATGTATAGATGTTAGACTATTTGGAACCGAAGTACCGCGAATTCTACACACAATTATGTAGTCGACAAAAAAAACACGCAAATTTAATAATCATATTATTATAAATTAATTTTTGTTGTAATTATCTAAACATGCACATAACTGACTTCAATGGTCTATATACAGTTATTTGTCTCCCCTGAACAATTTCATTTTTGTAACATACACCGATCTCCACGGGAGGTCTTCAATTGTATATTATCCTCGGATTAAAATATGATTACATAATACATCGTTCAGTGCTATCATCGGAACAGTCTTACTCTCAATCTTATTATTTCCGATTGCCATAACACCGGCCGGGTCATGATATGTTAATAAATTCATTATAATTTCTGTTTTGTATACTTTCTCTCGACAAGTAGAAAAAATCGATTATCATTAAAGAAGTCGTGAAGTAATACGGAGTATGATATAATTGAAAATAATGTGCCTGCCTACTCACTCTCTTCGAATCAAACGAACGGACGTTTGAAAGTCAAAATTTAGTTTGCACTATCGGAAATATTTAGGTAATATAAACCGAAAAATATCAGTCATACAACTATTGATGTTACTAAACACACACAACTTTCAAGAGTGTTTCAGCGTGTTTTCAAGTGTTCCTTATAATATTCCTTTTGATGTTATTTTATTTTCCACGAAAAAGCCAACCAAAGCCTCCACGGAAGTCGGAATTACACGACAAACGTATAAAATATGAATACATTTAATTGTAATTTCCGTGCCGAAAATCAGCTGTGACTTTATATTTTGCGTGAACGTTCGGTATATCGCTACCCGACAATAATTATGCCCTGCCGACTTGTTTAGAATACAAATGTTAATTAATTCAAATCGCATAAAAAATAAAATTATACGTGTATAGTGTGTATATAGTCGTTGCTATAACTGGTGGTCTAACCAAAGTTGATTTTTTTCATTTCTTATCCAAGTTCATTATGCACATTGATGTGTAAAACGTATTATTTTTTTTCTGATGAAATATTGAGATTATGTCAACTACTCGACAATAAATGTTGCCATCACGGCATAGTGATGCTATATTACAGTATAACACGCTTAAACGATAATGTTTTTCTTGTTGTAAATAATATTTCGTTCTTGATTTTGGATAAAACATATTATTCACCTATTCACATTGATTATAGACCAATATTTCTCTGCCTTATTTTTATGCGGTGATTAAACAACAATTAAAAATATTTTAATTTGCGAGAATCCGACCTGAACTTAGTATAATTGATATTTACTATGTGTATACGCGTGGGCCTATTGAGACGAGTGACAACAAGTAATAAAAATTCATTCGAAAGGGCATATGATAACAAATAGTTCCTCCCGAACGAAAAAGCTCGTTTGTTCTAAGCGCGGTTAACATTGTTCGGAAAAATGACGTTGAAACGATTTTTTTATTCGATCTTGAAATGCATTTTAAGTTACAAATAATTTAAGATACCTATAATAAAACGGAAAATGAAAGTAAAATCTATCTCTGCTCATGTATGTATTGGATTTTTAAAGAAAAAATGTAATATTAATTCACGTCTGATGCCCAACAGTACCTAATCAAAATTATTTGGTTTCATTCTTCTTTATGTGCTATTATTTAAAAATGGTTCAAATAACAATTAGGAAGTAACAATGCATCTTGTCAAAATGAATCAAGACACGCTCATTAAAAACAATGTAAAATATTACAATCCTGTAGAAGTTCGTAGAAAATAAATATTATTAGATTATTTAGTAATATTAAAAATAGTTTTTTTTTCTTGTAACGGGTATTTTTCATCTTCTTTAAATTATGTCAATGTACGTACCTACGTGTTGTACCTATATGTATATTGTATATATTATCATTTTTTGCAATATTTTATTTGGTTCTTCAAAAGTATTTCTCAGAACGGCCTATTTCCAATCTTTTTGATGAAAATGTTGTATAATAATATAGTGTATCCCCCAAAAAGTAATATTTGAACATAAATAATTTTTTCATTCAAAACGTATTAATTCCGGATACATTAACTTAACCTTTTCATATATAACTTTGATCAATTTTAACAATAAAAGTGAACGTATTTCGTTTTTCACATCACTCGAGGTGGATTGCTATTATAGTTGGAGTTTGAAAAGGTTTTGTTACGAACTATTTCTGGTATAAAAAAATAAACAGATTTTTCAAATTCATTTTTTTTTTCGAAAATGATGATTAAACTAACGTTTTTATAATAACTAGCCATGTCTGGAACCGCCATTTTTATTTAGAATGAAATTGTAAATATATTTTTGACGATGACAACAATTTTGAGATTCAACAGCAAAATAATATAATCTAGGTATGACATTTGATAAACTTGATTTCCAAACATAAATGTTGTTTCCCTCCAAAAAGGATATTTTCAAACACCCAAAGACGTTGACGATTTGAACATTGTAATACATTTTTAGCAAGAGTTGTGCATTTATTAATTGTTCACATATCATTGCAAAATCACCATATAAAATTCAAGAAAATGAGGTGAACATTTTGGAAAAAAATATGAATTTATTAATTAGACCATATTAAATGTAGGCAGTGAGATAACCGAAAGCATCAAAAAATCATTTGAAAGTATTTAGAATATTTTAATTCACGCATGTATGACGGACCATAAGAGAAACCAAAATATAGGCTAATTGGTTTTTTTTTAACTACCGAATTTCGACGGTAAAAAGATTTACAGAACCAACAAAAAAAAATTTCAAAACGCTAAATTTGAATTTTCCTTTTTTTTTTTTAAACATTTCGTTTTTTTTTATCTTTTTAAAAAATACAAGTATAACATCATATTATATTATACGTCTTATGGATAATAATATAGGTTCATGAATCGGACTCTCACGATGGACTAACTACCGGGAACATTACGATGGCGGTTGTGCTATTATACTGTTTTACGGCCATAATCTCGTATAATAACGAATTATTGTGCGTTCGACATTATAAATCGGCCGACGATTCAATAGAGCCGTTATGGAAACGATATCGCGATAATAATAATTTATTAATATGTTGTAAGTGCATAATTGCGGGTACTCACCGATCTCGAAACGCTCGGTGCTGCGGCGAACGCTGCGAGGACCGTTGCGATCGCGACCATCCGTTGTCGAAACGTACCCATGGCTCTGCTGCTTCCGGTGCTGTGGCGTGCGGATGTGCGATAGGGGTGGTGTCCGTGGAATGACTGCGAGCACGGCCGGCGTTCGGCGGCAAGCGAGATTAGACCGCGTCGGGAGA